ATGGATTCCCCGCATTTTGGCACTAGGATTTTCGATAGAGGACACCATTCTGCACCTCTCCACCAAAATTCAGCGAAATCGTAGGGGCCGTCGATCCCTGCTGAATCCCTGCTGAACCCCTGCTGAATCCCTGCTAACTTCCGTTACATATGTTAAACAATGATAATTGAAATCTAGGACGTATTCATAGCATGCCACTATTCAGTCGATAGTTGCATGATGCTTTTCATGATGCATGATGAGGCTTTTCTAAAGTGTTATTTTAGTTTGGTATTTTTCATTTGGCACGTTCAGTTTTGGTGGCTTTTATCGGGTCGAAAAGAAGCAGAAAAGAAAAAAAGAGTTGAAATGGCTCCAGACAAATGACTAAAATATTTTCTTAAAAAATGAAACATAGCTAAACATTTATTAGCGATAATTTTGACTTTTGGAGAGGATGTTGGGGAAAGATATCGTGCTTATCTGTGTTGCAGTAGAAGGAAAGGTTTTGGTTCGTGTCTAGGTAAAACCAGACCCGGGAGTGGGGTTCGAACTCACGACATCGCATTCAGCTCACGCCTCACAGGCTACCCAACCTCAACGCTACGGGCACCTATCGGCCTGCGCAGCTTGCTCAGTGTTTCGGCTACAGTTCGGCCAAAGTGTCTGACGTCTGTCAATGTCACGAGGCGAGACCCCAAGGTAAATATCCGTCCCGATCCACTGAAAGAAAAGTACACCCAAAATTGGAATAATTTTACGGTGCCTAAATCTCCAACCCTAAGTGATCATTCTACTCCCCAGTGTAAACTGCTTTAACATGGGCGATTAGCGACTATTTTTACCACCGGGTGTTATCAAATAACTCCCATGAGCTTAAAAATACACTTTCTCTGGAGTAAAAGTACGGTGCCTAAAACTCCAACCCTAGAGGAATAATTTTACACCCCGGTGTAGGGGAGTAAAACCGAATAAAGCATGCGATTTACGGGAGTAATACTGCACTCCCAGTGTAATAATATCAAATCAGATTTCACCCCCTGCTTCAGGGTGTAAAAACAGAAAACAGCATTTATACACCAGAGTAGAAAAAAGTTGAGAGAGTAAAAATAATTCACATTCTAATTCACGTTGAAACAAAAACTCAGAAAGATAATTCTATGACTGAAAAGTTTTAGAGTAAAATTACCCCGAGTTAAATATACACCACTATTTCAGTTTACCCTCTGGTGTATTTTTATGCCTACGCTGCAATGTAATGGTATATCGTCTGCTTATATATACTTTGCACCAAAGTTAATGGTGAAGTCAAACAGATGGCATGCAATGACCATTTCAGATAGTACATATCGTGTAACCATGGGATGTCAGATACGCTATGGTCAGGATACGCATTGTGAACGCGTTGTACGAGGGATCCGAAATTATGAAACCATAAAACAGTAATGTCTTCCAGTCGGTGCGATAAAACGTGATTGCTACCAATGTAATAGTAATTAAGAAAAATCATGTTTATCACATATTATGTATTGATCATAGTTCAATCACTCACAGTTCAATCACTCGCATCGATCTCGATGAGGTTGACTACGTTAAATCACAGACACATTAGTCACATACAGTAACAAACCACACAATCACCTTGGTCTATGTACAGGGTGGCGCACGTAAAACCCCCAATGTGAAACTTGAATAACTTCCATCATAGGTAGCCAAATTGAATGATACTAACCTGCGCCCCACTGGGGTCTTTTAATAACGCCGACCCCCCCCCCCCCCCTCCTAACTCCGAAACTACTAAGCCGATTGTCAAAATTCAAACGGCGTCTGATAGCCCAGGAACAACTGTCGAGCGGAACCTACTCTTATTGACCTCGAGGTCACCGATGACGTCACAGGTCAGGTCAAAGTAAAATTTATCGACGTTTTGGCTTGTTAACTATTTGGGCTCTGGCCGCCGTCTCAAAAGTCGGATCTGGCTCATTTTTGGTTTACACACTCATGAATACATGCCTAAGATACCCTGAGGGTACCAAACTTGTTGAATTTTTCAGGTCACGGCAAGGTCATCCTAGGTCACGGAAATATTATATTTAATTGGTCACGTGACGCATGTTTTATGGTCCATTTAGGCCAGATTGCGAAATCAGTGTCGTCTGTGTCATATCAGGCCATTTTCAGCTGAAAAAGCTGAGGTCAGGTCATTTTCAGGTCAAAAAGGTCAGATTTTCAAGTTGAAATTTTCAACAGAAAAGGTATCTATCAGATGCAGTTTGAGCTCAGAAACACGATGGTGCTATTTATTTTGGTGTACGATGTCAAAAACGTGCTAAAAATTGATTTGAAAATTTGATAATGACGGATATTTTTACTATAAAGCATATAACTTGGCTATTTTGTAGGATATCGGGCTAAAACGTCCTAGAGTAGGTCACTGGTATGTGTTTTATCACAAATGTATCGGTTTTTCCGAAAAAGCAAAAACTGTCTTAAAAATTACCAATCTAAAATTTTTGATAGTTCATATGTATAATTTTCAAAATTATCGAAATTTTAAAAATCAGAGATAGCGGTTTGATAGTCCAATGTGTTTTGAGTCATTCTATGCAAAGAAATCGGATCTATCTTAAAAACTGAGCTCTTGAAAGCGATTGCCGTAGTTCAATGTTTTGCATCAAAACCGGACGGACATGACGTCACTCTGACGTCATTTGCGGCCGACCTATGGTAGCTAGAAAGTTTTTATTCGGACACAAGGTGTCAAATCAATGCAGGCAAAGGTCCTGAAAGTTTCGTGTTGACACGTCCAGCGGTTTTGAAGATATTGCAGAAAAACGAGAGGGGGCTATAAATAGCCCCCCCCCCTCCCAGTGGGGCGCGGGTTAACACAATGTAGTTAGATACACATTTGGGATTATATTCTTCCAAGCTTTATACAAATACGTTCACGTTCAGCTCAGTGTTGCACCTCGACGTGCCTCCTACCGTTTTTCATCGCTTTATCGAGGCGCTCGCGGTACGCCAGCGCTGCTTTCTAGCGCATCTCGACGGTGATCTCTGCAAAGGCGGCTCGGAGCCGACCTTGCAACTCCGGAATGTTCGCCGGCCGCGTTACGTATACCTACGACTTCACAAACCACAACATGAAAAATTCACACGTGGTGAGGTTGGGCTTCGCCTAAAGTGCCCTGACCATCGCACTCGCCCGACCTCACCACGCGTGTGAATTTTTTCACGTGGGGGCTTGTGAAGTCGAAGGTATACGTAGCGCGGCCGGCGAACCTTCCGGTGTTGAAAGGTCGGATCAGAGCCGCCTTTGCAAAGATCACCGTCGAAATGCGCAAGAAAGCAGCGTTTGCGTACCGCGAGCGCCTCGAGAAAATGATGAAAACGATAGGGGTCACGTCGAGGTGCACAACTGAGCTGAACGTGAATGGATTTGTCTAAGACTTGGATGAATATCATTCCAATTGTGTATCTACGCTGTGTGAAAATAGTATCTAATTCGGTTAAGAATGATGGAAGTCATTAAAGCCTCAAATCGGGTGTTTTGCGTGCGCCACCCTGTACTTTGTACTCTTGGCCCTTGAACATGAAAAACTTTGAAACATGAAACGCACGCAGACTACGCAGTATACACTCTTCGTGTGTGGGTCAGTGATAAATCTGAGCTTCCGAGTTCCGGCATGACATTTAGGGTGGCGTACCGCAATTGCCAGTATACTCGCACGCGCATCTTGCACTCTACTCAGCCAGGGAGCACACTATTTTCTGCGATGCTTTACTTAGTGAAATATTGATGATAATTATAGTTCGTTTTTCTTAAGTTCGACCCTCACTGTAAACGTCTCTTTGAACACAGCACGAAAATTGCTGGCTGGATTACTGAGAAAACTGGTTGGCGCACATTGATTTCACAGGTGATCAACTGTATCAAAATTATTTATATCTGGCTCCTACTTCCCAGACTTGTAGCTCGTATTTGCCCATGTTTACAACCACACAAAGATGGACGACTTCTCAGGAATTATAACTTAACTAATTGATGAATCCTGCGGCGCTTAAAGGGACCCTCCCACCTTAACATTAGATTTGAGTTGAGATAGCCGAAATGGGGTCCCTGGCTCACAACTACCGGTTTCGGCACTCACAACATCGAGAAATGCCTGAAATCGGAAATATTGAATTTCAAAATTGCAGCATTTTGATTCAGAGGGGCTAATGCATAGGAATACCCCTCTGAATGTGTGACGTCAGCGCAGATATCTAACGATTTTTAAATGTTTGACTAAAACGTTTTGTAGCACGCGGTGGTATATGCTGCTTTGCGCGCAACAAGTGCCGCACTTTCAGCTGCCAAACTATTGCTTCCAAATAAAGTCGCTAGGAACCAGCCCCCGTTCACGAGCTCCAGAATCCCTTTACCGTGACGTCACCACGGCGGCAGAATCTCCCTTCACCCATAGGCATGCATGCAAATTTCATCATCTTTCGGGCGAGCTGGAGATAAAATCAAGGCTTAGGTATATGTCATCAAAAGATGTACCAATGTAACAATGAATTCGCCTCATTACGATAAATGGGACTGAAACTAAAAAAGTAGGACTATATCGAGCAAAAATTAGCAATTCAAATGACCCATTCATTTGAATATGAAGGATTTCCTCTGATTACGTTACCACGGCGCCTTTATTTCCCTAGTGAACCAACCTGAGTAGTAAAGGAATCTTGGCTAGGAACAGCGGAGATCCCAAAAAGTAAACAAAAGTAAAAGTCGAATATCTTGAAAACCGGTGAATATTTTTCGGTGAAATTTAGTAGATATTCGTTTTCGCTCTTTCTGAACCGAGCGACATCACTTTCATACCAATTCATAATTTTTTTTGAAGGTGGGAAGGGAGGGTCCCCTTAACATAACGGTACATCATCAGTGTTCACAACCTATTTTGAAAATATTATTCATACCTCTAATTCAATGTGCGCTAACCAGTTTTCTAAGCAGTTCAGCTAGCAATTCTCGTGCTGTGTTCAAACAGATGTTTACAGTGAGGGTCGAACTTAAGAAAAACGAACTATAGGGCTTTCTTGTAGAGCACCTCGAATAGGTACATATATGCTTGCATGGTCCACGGAACGGAAGACAAAACATGGGGGCATGGGCTGCAAGGATTGTGGCAACTTCACCGACCTTTGACTTTGACAGCTTAAAGTGGCCCAGTGCTCCCTGAACGTTGAGGCGGGACGACTGAAGAAGTGAACACTCACGGAGCTCTGCTCGTTCTTGAGATCGCCCAGCGTCCGTAGGCGAGTAGCGCCACCAGTTCGTCACCTGTGAGGAGGGAAATAAAGTAGGTAACTAGCAGTGATAGATTTCCCGACAAAGCGGAGCCCGGAGGATAAAAATCTGTGTGGGGTTACTTACTACCGTTGAAGCCTCAGCCCCTTGGGACCCGTCAGGAGCGCGGCTCGCTGCCCTCCCGTGGTGCAGCTGAGATATAAATTGACTGCATGTATTCACCGGTTCAGGATGCAATACGTAGATTTACTTTTACTGTTGAGTAAAGATACATCAGACATGTGTATACGGATAGAATCAAAATGACAAATCAGGTAAAGTTTAATTATAATTACGCATCTTTAAGTCATGAATGAATATAGTGTGCTAATTTCGCCGGGATCAGAGAGAGGCCAAAATGCCAACGCTTGTAGCTGGTCTGTGAAGACTAAGAGGGACATATATAAAGTAACCAATGACCCCGCAACCACCGTTCCCCCCACGCTACTCACACACTTGCTGGATGTTCTTGACGACTCTTTCCTTTAACTCATTTGGCTCCTCACTAGTCCCCATAATCAGGGGTCAGGTCGTGCCACGACTGAAATGGAAGGAAAACAAATATTGTTAGACGTGCTAGACGCATGTTAGCATGTTGGACGTCTGATATAGTAGGTATTACCCCTATAGCCTTTTAGGCACAATGCAGTCAATGATGGAATAATAATAAATACCAGAAAAAAATGTTCCCGCTTGAATCGATAAGAAGTATGACTGTTAATGAAAATATTGAAAACCTTAAAACACCTTACCTAGTCAGGGACTTAGCCAAGGGGGGGGGGGGGTCACAGGGACCATGGTCCCCCTGATGGCCAAACATAAAATGAAATAAAGTAAAAAAAAATCAGCTGCACCACACACCCCGAAAATAGTGGGCGAAATCCGAAGTTTTCCTTTTTTGGAGGGGGTATAGGTACGACACCAGGCCGCGACCTGTGGCCCAACCTGAGCAAAATCCTGACTACGTGCCTGTACCTAGTCTTGCATAATTTTTATTAACCCGCGCCCCGTAGGAGGGGGATGGGGGTGGGGGCGAAACGGCCCCTCCCTGTCTTTTTCCGTGAATATCTCCTAAACGACTGCAGATATCGTAATCAAACTTTCAGAACCCCTCCGAACATCAATTTTACACATTGTGATCATTTTTTCAAAGGCTACGATAGGTTGGCCACAAATGACGTCAGAATGACGTCATTTTCTGTCATTTTCGACAAAAAAAAAACAAAAAAAAATCGCGGGAAGAGCTGTCAGGCCTACAGCTTTGAAGATACAGAAAAATGTTTAATGCATAGAAGGTATAGAATTACCAGGGCTATCAATCTGTCATCTCAGATTTTCGTAACTTTTGGTTTTTGACCCCCAAAATCCAAAAAGTTATTTTTTGGATATAATAACAAAAAATCCCAAAAAATTTCCGGATTGAAAAAACGGAATTTGTATGATAGTCCCTACTATCTTCCATCCACACACCAAATTTGAGATCGATACCTCTTTTTTGGCCAAGTTGTAGAGAGAAAACTTCAAAATTGATGAGGTCATATTTTCAAACTCAATTTTTAGTAATTCTAGATCACGTAGCTCAATACAAAGACCACCATTAGACTCCCCGTGACGAGTTGCATCGAATCATTACTCATTTTATGCAAAATATCAACTTTGAAACTTGACCTAATTTGACCTGACCTTGACCTGACCTTTCCCAGAACATAACCTAAAATGGCCCCAAAGGTTGCCTAATCCACACAATCACATTTGTCATGTAAAATGGACCATGAAACATGTATCAAACGACACTTTCATATCGTGGCCCTCAGTGACCTGACCTCTATGGCCTGACCTAGTATCAGTGACCTCTAATAGCAAAATGTGTTCGACAGACAATTATCCATCCATGATTTTTAATAACATGCCTTTTACTCTATTTTACAATACATTTCTTGGAATGCCTGTAAGTGGTAAAAATGCGACCTTTGACCTGACCTGTGACGTCATCGGTTGGACCGAGGTCAATGAAATTAAGTCACAAGGTACTTCCTTGGTGGGGCTTTCGAACACCGTTTGAATTTTGAAAATCGGCCGGTGACTTTCCGAGATCTTAGGGGGGGGGGGGGGGCTACGGGTGGCAGGGTTCGCTGATAGCCCTACGGGGCGCGGGTTAATGATTGACAATTCAGTCCCACGCACAAGGGGGAAAAGCTCAAAAAATTGAGCGCTCAAAAAATTGAGCGGGCCCCATTATAAAGGAATAGGCGAAACGATGGTAATTTAAAATGCCTTCAGCGTCACACTACGGCAAATATCGTATCCAAATAAGGTATCAATGGCAAGAGAGAGCAACAAGGTTTCTTCTGGAACACTCTCCGTGATAATTTATATCGGTGTTTTTTGAAAGAAAATGCCCTAAAGACGCTCAACTTTTTGAGCGCCACTTGTCGTTCGGGACCGCGATACTCAATAAATTGAGCGCCACGACAGACGACAGTCAGCTGGCGCTCAAAAAATTGAGTGCCGGCCAGCATCTACACTCAATTTTTTGAGCGTTCTCCGTGACAGGTGAAGCCGGTACTGGCTGCCATTTTTGATGTTATGTTCGTTGAAATACGTTAAACTGAGTTGGAACAGAAATGCAGGAAGTTGAATGCTACGTGGTACCTGAACTTCTCACAAACCCATGGCATCATGTCACATTTTCCGCTAGTAGTTTTATCGGTCGCCTTTCGGATTCGGCACACCTCAAATAATTATACAGGGCTTGAATAATCCGTATGAATACTGTATTGATATTCTCGGACTGTACTGGGAGAAGGGAATACGTGAATACAGAAAGATATCCACCCACGCTTGAATATTGGAGAATTATAGCAGGAAAAACTTTATTGCCACGGTTACAACTTACAAGGCCATCGGCCGCAAACAAACAAAAATACTATACAATGTGGGTTAGATTCACAAACATCATCAAGTGTGGAACACAGAGACGAGCAAAACAACATCACATTATCGCATGCCAGCCCGACCACATTGGAACCGGGTGACCTGCGACCGGAACCTGCGTCTTGCCAGCATACATCACAAAAGCAGGAGGCAGTGTCGTACTGCTTTGATCCAAAATATGCCATATAACAAATGATATAAACGACCTAAGCTCGGACTAAGCTAATCATTATCAAATCCTTAACATGTAAAGGACGAATGGAAACATCGAGTCTCAGACCAGCAGTAGCAACCATCACAGTAGCAACATCACAAAGAACACGCGGCATTATCAGACAGCCGTTTTGTTATCGGGCTACAGGCGGCGACGGCGTGGTTGCAGACCAGCTGCGAGGTAGCGGCGTGCGGGCAAAAGGCGCGGGCACACCTCCATGTGGCCGTGCGGACAGTGCGCGGTCGGCGTCGCATAGTGGGCGGCATCGGGCTGTCCCGGGGCCGTCGAAGCCGCACAGGTTGTCGGCGCATGTGGGCGCGCGCGGTCACCACGGCCAGCTGCTCACCGCCAGCACAGACTGCGCAGCGTCGCCGCTCCGCCGGCCAGAACACGCAGACAACCCTTCTTGCAGTCGCACAACATGTCGCCAAACTCATTCACCTGCTCCACCATGTTGTTGATGTCACCGAGTCGTTCAAGTTGTGGCTCGTGCCGTCGAGCATGACCTGCCCGATCGGACACGGGTCAGCGGCTTCTGCTCCAGCGAAGTCTTCATCTTAGTGACGTCTTGCTGATCTCCACAAAGGCTGAGCAGATGACCTTACCCACAGGGACGGCCGACGTCCTCGCCAGCGACCGCTTGGTTGTGCAGACCTGCCAGAAAAAGAAAAGCTGTTTGGTGATCTCAAACGATTTTTTCTTTATGCAGTGGAACAAAATGGAAAATATGTCATACAACAGGAACTAAAAAAAGATGCAGCCTAGGTCGTCTAAGAAATGGGTGCAACATTGATAAAATTCTTCATTGAATGAATTCTGCAAACGCTTTTGATAAAATGTGTGGTGATTGTAAGGAGACCACTTTACTATAAAATTGCTCAGGATTCCTTATCTGGACCTGTCAAAAATCCTGACTGCACACCAACAATTAGCATTAAATCTGAAACCTCTACCAGGTACCTAGGGATAATTAAATTCTGATTCAGGAAAATATTTCACATCATACAAATAAAAACCTTTACTATATTGAAACTGAAAATGTGATGCCGATCCAGTGACCTAAGGGTCTCAAAGTATAATAATAAATTAATCTATTATAAATTTGGTGGTGACTGTCGACTGGCGTCTGGCGGCCTAGACCTTGAGGCTTGAAAGTGGCCTCCCTTTTCCGTTGACTCCGATCCTCCAGATGTAAATGATATAAAGGATCATTTTTATCTTATTTCATATGAGCCAGTCAGCAAAGTGGCTATCCTGTTTCAGCATTCACACACACAATAGTTGACTGTCAGTCTCTCATGCTGTCAGTGTTGTGAAGTAACGAAGGAGTTGAGTTTTGTTGATTATAAATTGTGATGTTATGTAAAGGACTGGAAAATGAATGTGAAAACTATGGAAACATATTGGCAGAGTATTGTCACTTACTATCAGCACATATGGATAGAGAATACATTCAAATTAATAAGAAATGCCAAATATCAAGGTACTCAATCACTGATAGGAGTGGACTATCATATGTTTTAATGTCAATTATATGAAAGTTAAGACTGAAACTACCTTTTACCTCATCATACCTAATGAAAAATTGTGTGAAGAAAACATTCACAGCCTCTTTGAAGCACTTAGACCACTAGAAAACAAAAATTTTCACGTAAATATGTTGCGTCTCCTTCCTTCAAAACATCATATCGGATGGCGCCACTTTCGTCGACAGTTGCTTATCTGCACGCAAATCGAGGAAAACGTGAATTGATTGACGTTTACGTGTTTCCAAATTTAAAATCACAGCATATTCAAACTTTTCAGTGTACCTTTTAACATCTAAATATAACTAAAACGATAAAAACTTACCTTCAACACGAGGATGACGACAACCACGCGACCGGAGACGTCGCGACGAAATAAACAAACGGCGCCGCCAAATGAAACATATTCTCCGATATCAGTAATGTGAAATTGAGTCGCAATCATTTTGGGTAGTATGAAAAATGCTCTTTCCAACAGAACCCTAGTAAAAAACGTGAATGGACAAAAAATAACTTTTATTTCGACATAAATATTGGCCTGTTTTTAAGTCATCCTGGTATGCCGTAAGATTTCGACCTATAAATTGGTGTTCCCCCAATCATTGAAGCTTGAGCAGTGAAAAATATGAAAGCCTAATCTGTTTTGCATCATTAGTGATTCTCCTAGGGTGTTGCCATTTCTCCCTAGGTGTTGCGAGTCGCTTTTGCAAAACGTGTTCCTGAAACGGCTCAATTTTTTGAGCCCTCAGCATTACGCCTATGGGAGCCTCTGACGTCACACGCTCAATATTTTGAGCGCTCAATAATTTGAGCTTTTCCCCCTTGTGCGTGGGACTGAATTGTGATGCAGCTTCAAATCGGTCATGGTCTTCACGCAGACTGAATGGGATCTTGCATATGTGCGCATCATAACCAATGCGGCAACATCCTTCACCTTGCCTATACCTACCTAGCCAAAAGATACATTTAAAGCCTTACCTTTGTTGTTCACTGCTTGCCGCAGTTTTGGTCGTCTAGCAGACACTGCATGCTTCGCCGCACCGGAGGCCTCGCTTCACGATATATGCAGTATGCACGGTGTATAGGGAACTGCCGCGCTTCATCCACGCCACCCCACGCTTCACAGTTCACCATGCAAATGGCGATTCAAAATGGCGGTTAAAATGGCCACGTGGAACACTGTTGTAAAATAACGCTCCAAGCTGTAAAAATATATCCTTGAAGAGTGAAATAACCATGTAGCATAAAACCACACCTAACAATCCATCGCTCATCAAGCCCACGGTGTAAATTTACTCCATTTAGGTTTTGCGGTAATCAGCTGAGCCACGCTAGTGTAAATTTATGCTACCAAATAGCCATTTATTATCCGCATGAGATTCAAACTACCCTTGGGTAATAATTTTACTACCAAAAGGCTGAGGTGTAAAAACATAAGAACATGAAATTACACCATAGTTGCAAGAAAAGCCTAAAGTACTGTATAAATTACACCTAAGTTGAGTAAAAATGCACCTAGTCATCTTTTTACTCTGAATTTTCGGTTAAAGGTGGTACAATTAGTCTAGAAAGTGGTGTAAAGTGGTTACAAATATCACCCAAAAATACCACCAAGGTGTACTTTTCTTTCAGTGGATAGCTCGGTCGGTAGAGCGTTGGACTTCATGTGCCATGTGGTGAGAGCGCACGTCCCGGTTGCAAAAGTCCGGGTTCGAAACGCGACGTGTGCTTGACGTTTTTGAGCTTCTCCTGACGGGTATGGTTGTGGTTGGTGGCAGGCCGCTGCCAGGCGAAGTCAGTGAGGGGACCGGCCGTGCGCGGCTATGTGCGCACGTTAAAATTTAGACTCTTAATTCTGCCAAAGACCAGGAACTGCTTGATCGGAGGGTAAGAGCAGGGTTAATGCAACAAGCTCAGCTTAGCGGGGACTTTGTCCTTGTGATACCTTTCTTCCAAAAGGTTCGGGCCAAATTTATGTTAAAAAAGGGGAGCCGAACCAGGTTGGGCCGGGTTGAACCCGGTTGGACCGGTGTCTTACAAGCATGAAACAATCATGTTCAGACAAAACAAAGGCTAATTTCGGGTCAAATATTTGTATTAACAGATCTTATTGTTTTTAGCTTACACGTATAATAACTTTTAGCTCTTCTTACTCCAGACTTCATGCACAAAAATGTGGCATTCGTCCTCATGTGCATGTGGCATCTTCTCTTAGCGACTTGATTTGACCTTAAAGACCCATCTTACCAGCAAAAAAAAAAAAAACACCTGCGTGATAATTAGGAGGGCGCTCTACGCATGAAACGCCAGCCGGTCAAAAAACTGGCGAACGATGCGATCTTTCTATTGCTTGAATTATATTCAATGAAAATTTCAGGAGACATAAATAATCTTAATCCTTATACCTAGCGTCTGGGCGCTCGGAGCATTCGCTAGCATTCCATTGCCAGCTGCATTATCAACGTCACATTTGCATTACTTTGGGTTCACCATAGTTGACAGTAGATGAGCCGGCCACAGCAAACCCATGCCTCATTGTCCTTTCCTTCCAAGCAGCCAACTGCCAAGCTAACCGGCCGCCCGGCCCACCACCGCGATATGGAACAACGCTGGAGTGCGCCATTTGCCTGCGGCAGCGCCCCACCGCGCCGGGGCTGTTTGACAGGTGACCCGCACCGTGACCTCGCCACCCGCCCCCCCCCCCCGCCCACCTCCCCATCGGGCCCAGCTCGGTAGTGACCTCTCCTTGAATATCACATGGACTCGACTAAGGCTCAACGCCATCTAGTTGCGTCTGGAGATCCTTACTAGATCCACTGTACATTAGTACCTCCTTTTTTGGCCAAGTTATAGCGTAAAAACTGTTCAAAATTGATGACTTCAAATTTTTAAACTCAATTTTTAGCAATTCTAGACCACGTAACGAAAAACAAAGGCAACCATTGAACTCCCCGTGACGAGCTGCATCGAATGGATATCCGTTTTATGCAAAAATATTTACTTTGAAATTTGACCTAATTTCTGAGGTCAACATTTTTAAGTGACCTAACCCAAACCAGAAGTGTGTCATTCTATGTGCCTAGCTAGGACGAGCACGATGGCGCCACAATCACGGCTCTGCCACCATTTGTGGCGAAGTTTTTTTTTACAATTTACCAAAAAAAGAAGCCCCTACTCTGGGACACGTGACATGACCTCAGGGGTCACCGGTTGACCTAAGACCTTAACATCTGATACCAGTCGCTGTGTCTCGAAACGACGCACACGCTTACTTTTTCCGCAAGGCTCTAGTCCAATTAGGAGCGAAACGGCTATAGGCAGAGGTCATATCCACCCCGCTTCACAGTGTTCGCGAACAGGTCATGAACGTTCGGGAGGTTTTCGCCGCTAATTCACAAAAATTTGGCCGATGACGTCACACGTTCGCGAACACAATTGTTCGTGAAATGCTTATGTTTGTTTGCTGGAAAAATAAGCAAACAACAAACCCTGAAAACTATCGTGACATGCTTTATGATACTGCAGAGGACTCTGTAATGCATCAGACCACACGTGTAGGTGGCAGGCTGGTGAAGCGCGCTAGGTGGCAGCACTTGGAGCCTGGAGTGGAGGAGCCTGGTCTGTCTCGCCGAGACCACGACAGGAGGGAGGAGTTTTGGAGGAGTTCAGACGCAGCGACAGACTAACCGGTCGATGGTCGAGTCACTCCTTTCATCACCGTTCCGTGCATCTATCCTCAGGATACTGAAATCCTTTTCCTCCACGCCGCAACCCCCCTCCGGGCTGGACAGGCAACTTTATCTCATGCGGGCTGCTCCCTTGGAGCGGCACCGCTGCTCCCGAGGGAGCGCACCCCGTAGCCGGGTGCAATGAGTGCCTGGGGCTGGGTGGCCTGTCCTCTGGACGGGCTCAGCCCTGGCGACTCACTAGGGTGCCTGCCCAGACCAATGTCTCCCCCTATATCCTATCATCCTCCCGGCTCTGAAATGGTCTCATTGGACCGAAAGGGCCTAACCCAACAAAACAAAAACAAACAAGAGTCACTCCGATGTCCCACTGCTAGCATGCCGTCTCAGCGCCACGAAACGGTCTTATTACACCGATATTGTCTACAACATAAGTACCTATTACTAAATGATAACAATATCAATAATTATTCTCATTGTCATCGTAATATGTATAATGTAATGGTACAGCAGTCATAATAAAAATATGACAGTTACCGACAACATCAATGAAAAGTTTTCACCAATAACGCTTGATAGAGTCATGATGGATCAATGAAAGGCCGAAAATCGACTGATGCCTCGACTTCACCTTTTCGAAACAGGCCATGACATTGGCATGGATGTCATCTATGACATTTGCCTACGGACAAATTTTCAAGCCAACACTGACCGATTCGTATTAACCCTCGCCGGCACAGGACATTTTGAGTCCTTCGACGGCACAAGGGGGGGGGGGGGTTGGTACGACCCCCCTCGCGTTTGGCCCCTGATCGAGCTAGAGCTTCGCGGAAAAAACGGGCGTGTTGCCCGTCACGAGAGGAAGCCGATGATACCCAATTTTAAGGTCCTAGGTCATCGGGTGACCTTCCAGGTCAGGTCAATGACCCGAAAACCGGGAAAATCGGGACCTGTTAGAAAGTCGATAGGCGTTATCACAAGTGTATTCGCGGCCATTGGGGCGACGTAAGAAAAGAAGAAAACAACTGGCCCCAAGAACTTTAAATTATCAGTTAGCATGCACCTTTTCCTTGATATGTAGAGAATTTACCATTAATTGTTAGAGAAAATTGCATTTAAAATCTTCCATTTATGCTTTTTTCATCGTTTGCACAGTATGTTCTTTTACTAAGCTAGAAACACTAATAAGAAATAGTTCCCGCATCATCAAGAACAATAGGGAAGGCTTGAAGTGAATACAATAATCTAAACGGCTTTGTAATCCATGTGAAGACACTTGCCTGTAGAAATATTGAAGGCAAAAGTTCAACTTTTTCACAAGACGGATGGCTATAAACCTATTCAGCGTGTGACAACTCAGCCGGTATTTCGTCGCCTACAGCCCAGCTTTCCCTAGTGACCGATAGAGGCGCTGCTATCGATGTCCGCCCGTGCCGCCTAACGTCGTAAAGTGTGGCTGCTATGTGGTTTTCCGGGGTGCTGATCACGAATATCGTGTTAGTTTTGATCAGAGATGATGTCTTTAAGCATTTAGACCAGGTCGGGTCAGGTCAGGTCAGGTCAACCGGTAGGGGTTGTGACGGGTATTCGTAATACGTGTCAACCGCCTCGGACAGCTTCGTAACATGTTACGACTTACGAAGGCACCAAAACTACTTCGTAAATGTTCAAATGGTTGCTAAATTCGAATTCAGCTCCAAAAACTAGCCTAGAAACATGTAAAACTCGAAAAAGTGAACCGAGGTCACCCGAGGTCACCAAAGGTCAATGACCTGACCTGACCTTCAGGTGACCTTGACACCCACCCTAATGCATGGGAGCAACATCAAATCACATGTTTGAACGTTTGAAACCACGAAAAGCTTGCAAACGCGCGGCTAATGCGAGCCGACATGCGCCGAACCGCGATTTCGGCCAAACATGGTCACAGAAAAGAGGTCACAGGTCAAAGGTCATTGGGGTCAGGGTCATGAAATTTTCAGGGTAGGTGTAAAATTGATCAATGCGAAGGTACTGAAAGTTTCGTCGCGATCAGCCGCTTTTTACGCGAGTTATTCGCGAAAAACCTTAGGGGGGTTGCATCAACCCCCCCCCGTGCCGGCGAGGGTTAAGAGAGACTCACACTGATGGGGTACGAATGGGTATCATGCCTACCAACAAATTGTAAGGTATGTAAGTAACCTTATTAAAAACTCTCGGGGAAAGCTAGTTCTACGAAAAAACCCATCCTTTTGGTATTGGAGGATATTTGCCCTCAGTGGGCCACATCGATTACCGTAGAAATAAAACGAGTCCCTGTGGGCCATCACCCATCACCAAATAGGTAATGCAATTAACTTCATCACCCATGTTTCACGCACCTATAATTTTGGTTAGACTCCATTTAAGCTCTAACATGCTCCTCTACGCTACATTCACTTACCTATATTCCCTTGCTTTCGATTGCCTTGTATATAGGGAGGCAAATGCTAATTCCTATCATTAGCACCCTGAAAAACCAATTGGCTGGTCCCTCCACCCATGCCTACGCTGTCAAGCCTGACATCTGGCGATTTGCGTCTGGGATTTCTCTGGACAAACCAGGGGTTAGCGTGTGAG